TCTGCCAGAAATCCATTGTATAAGGAAAAGATACCAATTTAGCAGCAAGGCCAGGGCAAGATTCTGCCTTTTTTTTTTTTTTTTTTGAGACAGAGTTTCACTCTTGTTGCTCTGGCTGGAGTGCAATGGTGCAATCTCAGCTCATCACAACCTCTGCCTCCTGGGTTGAAGCAATTCTCCTGCTTTAGCCTCTCGAGTAGCTGGGATTACAGGCACGCACCACCACAGCCGGTTAATTTTGTATTTTTAGTAGAGATGGGGTTTCTCCACGTTGGTCAGGCTGGTCTCAAACTCCCAACCTCAGGGGGTTCACCTGCCTTGGCCTCCCAAAGTGCTGAGATTACAGGTGTGAGCCACCACACCCAGCCTCTTCCATCTTTTATGAAAGAGGTTTTTGGCCAGGTGGGGTGGCTCACGCCCATAATCCCAGCACTTTAGGAGGCTGAGGCACGTGGATCACAAAGTCAGGAGTTCCATACCAGTCTGACCCACAGGGTGAAACCCCATCTCTACTAAAAATACAAAAATTGGGCCGGGCGTGGTGGCTCACGCCTATAATCCCAGCACTTTGGGAGGCCAAGGCAGGTGGATCACAAGGTCAAGAGATGGAGACCATCCTGGCCAACACAGTGAAACCCTGTCTCTAATAAAATATAAAAATTAGCTGGGCATGGTGGCGCGTGCCTATAGTTCCAGCTACTCAGGAGGCTAAGGCAGCAGAATTGCTTGAACCCGGGAGGAGGAGGTTGCAGTGAGCCGAGATCGTGCCACTGCACTCCAACCTGGCACCTGGTGACAGAGCGAGACTCTGTCTCAAAAAAAAAAAAAAAAATTAGCTGGGCGTGGTGGTGCACACCTATAGTCCCAACTACCCAGGAGTCTGAGGCAGGAGAATCGTTTGAACCTGGGAGGCAGAGGTTGCAGTGAGCCAAGATTGTGCCACTGCACTCCAGGAAAGGTGACAGAGAGAGATTCTGTCTCAAAAAAAGAACAACAACAAAAAAAAGAGCTTTTTATGGAAGAAGACTTCCAACCAAGCCATCAGTTCTTTTCTGGTCTAGTCACTATGCATACTTTATGCCAGAGAGAATGTGAGTGTGTGTGTGTGTGTGTGTGTGTGTGTGTGTGAGTGTGCAGCATTTCCTTTGTGGAAGGTACATTGCTAAGAGTTTTATGTGCTTTATCTCTGTTGATCTTCATAAGACCCTTTGACCTAGATGGAATTATTACCTCAATTTTACTGATAAGGAAACTGAGGTTTAGTGTTATATTACCTATTTCCTTGTTTCTGAGATTCTGTTGAATAAGAGATGTATTAGTGATAGCTTTTGGGGGGAGAAGAAGACTACAAAATTAAACATACATACCGATTTTAACAAACTTATTTCAAAAGAGTGTAAATGTGAAATAGAGGATATGTGTATAATTGTCTCCATTTTACAGATAGGGAAACCAAAGACTAAGGTTAAATTACTGCAGAAGATGATATCAAAGACTGTCTTCCTAATCTGTGTATTTTACTGACTCTCACTGTGTGTGAAATTATGATGACACTTTCTGATTAATAGTCGAGGAAGGCCGGGCGCGGTGGCATTCCTAGACGATTATATGACTATTATATGTATAATAGTCTGTTATAGATTATTACATGTAACACTTCCTACCCCTTCTATAGTCAATCACTTGCTCCTAGTTGATAATTCTCTTTATTAAAATTTTCAAATTACTGTGTTTTCTGTCTCCTGACTGGAACTGACCTACTGTATCATTGGGAGCAAGATGAAATAAACTAGAATATTGTGCAAAAATTAAAAAGAATAACTTAGACTAGGCACAGTGTCTCACTCCTGTAATCTCAGCATTTTGGGAGGCTGAGGCAAAAGGCTCATTTGAGCCCAGGAGTTCGAGACCTACCTGGTCAACATAGCAAGACCCTGCCTTTACAAAATAAAAATAAAAATTAGCCAGGTACAGTGGTGCACACCTGTAGACCCAGCTACTTGGGAGGCTGAGGTGGAAGGATCACTTGAGCCCAGGAGTTCAAGGCTGCAGTGATCTGTGACTGTGCCAGTGCACTCCAACCTTGACAACAGAGTGAGACTGTCTCCGAAAAGAACAGTCACTTCTGCCTGTGAAGGATCAACTGCTACAGAAATTACTTATTTTCATAAATAGAAAATTGCACAAAACATGAAATAATTGTTTTCAGATCTTATACAAGAGACAGAACAAGACTATGTACTTTGAGAGAAAGGAAACCAATGAAGGTGAGTCCTACAATTGCTCAAGCCAGGAGGCAGTTTCCAGACTCTCACACAGAGAGGGATTACCCAACAGAGTTTCAGAGTTAAAGAGAAAGATGGCAAAGTACAGCAGAGGCCAGCGTCAAGAATTTGCAGGATGAAATACTAAGAAGAGGAAGCTCCATGGAGAAAGCTCCGTAGGTTTCTACAGGGGCCCTTTTGAGTCTTTGGCTGAGTTCTATCTGCACATATAAGGGATAAACTCTTCCAGGTGTGATAGCTCATGCCTGTAATCCCAGCACTTTGGGAGGCTGAGGCAGGTGGATTACCTGAGGTCAGGAGTTTGAGACCAGCCTGGCCAATATGGCGAAACCCTGGTCCTACTAAAAATACAAAAATTGACGGCACATCGTGGCTCATGCCTGTAATCCCAGCTACTGGGGACCTTAGGCAGCAGAATCCCTTGAACCTGCAAGGCAGAGGTTGCAGTGAGCCAAGACTGTGCCACTGCACTCCAGCCTGAGCAACAGAGCAAGGCTCTCTCAAAAGGAAAAAAAAAAAAAATCTCCACGAGGCCTGGAAAAAATCCACCCAATAGCAGTAAGCCGAACACTTCTTGGAGTTCCTGAAGGGCAGGGAATTGTGGAACATTCCACAGATTTGAAAGATCTAGGCTAGATGCAGTAGCTCATGCCTGTAATCCCAACCCTTTGGGAGGCCAAGGTGGGCAGAACACCTGAGGTTGGGGGTCTGAGACCATCCTGACCAACATGGAGAAACCCTGTTTCTACTAAAAATACAAAATTAGCCAGGCGTGGTGGCGCATGCCTGTAATCTCAGCTATTCGGGAGGCTGAGGCAGGAGAATCACTTGAACACAGGAGGCAGAGGTTGCAGTGAGCCAAGATTATGCCATTGCACTTCAGCCTGGGCAACAAGAGCAAAACTCTATCTTAAAAAAATTAGATCTAATACAACTGGCCTCAGAGAAGGTGCTCAGAGAAAGTAGTCATAGCTCAGCAGTGGGGATATTAACCCTAGAGTAAAGGCTGTTCCTGGCCTATCATAAAGCTTAAAACAAGCCTCAGAAGAATCAAACTGATCACAAGTAACTTAAGTCTACCTTAGAATAAAATTTAATACTTGAGTACAACAAAATGCAGCACTCAACACTGTAAAATTTACCATGTTCAACATCTAATCAAAAGTTGTAAGACATTTAAAGAAGCAGAAAATATAACAACAGGCAAGGCATGGTGGCTCACACCTGTAATCCCAGCACTTTGGGAGGCTGAGGCTCGTGGATCACCTGAAGCCAGGAATTTGAGACCAGCCTGGCCAACATAGTGAAACCCTATCTGTACCAAAAATACAAAAATTAGCCAGCTGTGGTGGTGGGCGCCTGTAATTCCAGCTACTTGGGAGGCTGAGGCAGGAGAATCACTTGAACTCAGGAGGTAGAGGTTGCACTGAGCCAAAATTGCACCATTGCACTCTAGCCTGGGCAACAGAACAAGATTCCATCTCAAAAAAAAAAAAAAATTCTAGAGATGAAAAATACATTAAATGTCCATGATGTTATAACAGAAAAGCAAAAAAGATCTTTGGTGACCTCTGAGAGTATCTAATAGTGGGGCGGGGCTAGGAGTCAGAATATAATGCATGGAAGAGGGGTGTAGATTGGAAGAAGCTTTGAATGAGGACCACTTGTTTAGGAAGTTTGGTCATGCCGGGCTCGGTGGCTCACACCTGTAATCCCAGCACTTTGGGAGGCCGAGGCGGGTGGATCACGAGGTCAATAGATCGAGATCATGCTTGTCAATATGGTGAAACCCCATCTCTACTAAAAATACAAAAAATTAGCTGGGCATGGTGGTGAGTGCCTGTAATCCCAGCTACTCAGGAGGCTGAGGCAGGAGAATTGCCTGAACCCAGGATGCGGAGGTTGCGGTGAGCCGAGATCACGCCATTGCACTCCAGCCTGGGTAGCAAGAGCAAAACTCCGTCTCAAAGAAAAAAAAAAAAAAAAAAAAAAAAAAAAAAGGAAGTTTGGTCATAAAAGGAAATTAAGAAATAAGACCGGGAAGGAGTCACAGTATCAGCTGGAGGACTTTTTTGGGGAAAGGACAGGGATACGTGTGGCTTCATGATGGCCAAGAAAAGAGAATCAATGGGAGGAACTAACCCAAGGTGTTGAAGATGTGGGTATACCATCATGCTGAGGATGCCCTTGAGATGGGGAGGGGAGATTTTGCAGGGACAGAAATAGGGACATCTGTCTCATTTGCCTATAATTCAATTTGTTTCATTCACATGTCATAGACCTAGCAGGAAAACACTTCCAAATCTCTGCCTCTAGCGTAAAGAGCCCAGTTAGAGTCCTAAGTCTTGCCCTGATCTGGAGCATCAGCTCTGTGCCATAGTGCACGTCACTTAGGCTCTGGTGTAAGCCTCAGTTTTCTCATTAGTGAAATGGGGTTAACAATAATACTTCAGAGTGTTGCTGCTCAGCTACCGGTCTGGAGGCAGTGTCTCTGGTGTGTTTTGAGTGTGGTCCATATGACCAGTGATGTCACAATGCCCTACTAGACTTCAACTTCTTCACTAGGGAGCTGTGGATCCTTTGGAGCCAAGGACTCAAACAGACATGCGAGACCCCTACCAACTGAAGGTTTCATGAATACATTCCTTTGCCAAGATCTTGGTGAATAGTCTTTCACTGTGCAGTTGTATCTTAGAAATTGTTTTCCTTTTGATCATGATTGTGCTTGGCTGGATGCTTTTCGTTGGACTTGCATGTTACATGGGCACGTTTCCAGAATTAATGGTAAGTAACAGCTTGGCCTATAAATCCCTAGTGGTCAGTCCTGGTGCTGGCTCATCTTCCTTTCTTGGTTTTCTGACCAAATGGGAAAGATAGTTGAGATCTCACCACTAACTGGAAGTCAGAATGTGATGGGAACAAAGTTAATTTCCCAGGCCTTTCCCATCCCACTGGAGACATCCTTTTTCGTCTTTTTCCCCACTGTCTTGCATATATAGCTGCACTTGTTTCAAGGCACTGTGGAATTTGCAAGGGGTCTGCTGGAGACCATATTTGACTCGTGGATTTCAGAGCAAGTGGCTCAGTGGTTGTTGGCAGGAAGGGGAACAGTAGGGATTGGTGGAACCTTTTAGCAGCCCTTGTAGTAACCACAGAGAGGCGGTTACCTACTGGGCCAATGAGTAGAGCCATCTCTGTCCTCGAATTTTCTTTCTGATTCAGCCTCCAACTCTGAAGTGGAAGGAGAGGTGGCCTGTTCAGGAGAGCAAGACAGAGCTGAGGAGGCAGGCTTTAGATGAAACTCTGCTGCAAGTAAGTGGGTGGTCAGGTCTGGTGGGCTGGATTCCTCCCTTTCGAGAATACTTGGTAGCACCCTGAAATATAGTTTATTCCTCTGGAAAATATAATAAACTGTGGAAATGGAAATGATTTGGTGAGTACCGCTGAGGACAGCAGGCCAGAGTTTTCTGTTAATAACCATGTCTCATAGGTGTTGTTTTTGAAGACTATTATTTTTTTCTCCTCACAACGCTGTAATATACTATTAATAGCATTCTTTTTTTTTTTTTTTCTTTTTTCCTGAGACAGGTCTTGCTCTGTCTCCCAGGCTGGTGAGGTGCAAGCAGTGCTCCCACCCCAGCTTCCTGAGTAGCTGGTACTCAGGCACATGCCACCAAGTCTGGCTAATTAAAAAAAATTTTTTGTGTGTGGAGACAGGGTCTCACTATGTTGCTCAGGCTAGTCTTGAACTCCCATACTCAAGTGGTCCTCCCACCTCAGTCTCCCAGAGTGCTGGGATTATAGGCATGAGCCACCATGCCTTGCCAGGACCAGAATTTTTAATGTCCCTTTGGCAGATCCCGAAACTGGAGTTCACATTGAACTTGAGTTTGAGTCCTAACTTTGCAACTTACTAGCTATGTGATCTTGGGAAACTTTAATTTATTTGAACCTCAGTTTCAAAGTTTCTTCTGTATAACAGGAGATAATCTGAGTATCTTACTATTTTTGTGAAGATTATATTTGAAAATTAATGTAAAGCATTTAATGCAAAGCTCAAAAATTAGCATTTAGTAAAATACTAACTTAACAACTAACAAATAATGAGCCAGTCAACAAAGATTTACTGGGAACAGTGACCTCTACTATTTACCCAAGGCCACACAAGCCAGCTCACTGGTGAAGGTGGGATGCAAGCACACCTTCACATCCCACCTTCTCGACTCTGGACTTAGTAGCTTCTCATACTCATTCCACTGTGCCAGCCTGCCTACAGGAAACACCAGTGGCATTACCCCTTTTAGCAGACCATCTCCTGGGTTTCTTACATTTCACCCCATTTCATTCAGACCTGTTTTTTAGAGCTGTTCCTATTGTTAGAGTAACTTAACTCAGAGAGGTTTTGTTTGTTTGTTTGTTTGTTTTGTTTTTTTGAGACAGAGTCTTGGTCCGTTGCCCAGGCTGGAGTGTAGTGGCACGATCTTGGCTCACTGCAACCTCCGCCTCCAGGGTTCAAGCGATTCTCCTGCCTCAGCCTCCTGAGTAGCTGGCATTATGGGTGTGTGCCATCATGCTCAGCTAATTTTTTGTTGTTGTTGTATTTTTAGTAGAGATGGGGTTTTACCATGTTGGTCAGGCTGGTCCTGAACTCCTGACCTTGTGATAGACCTGCCTCGGCCTCCCAAAGTGCTGGGATTACAGGTGTGAGCCACCACTCCCAGCCAGGAGAGTATTAATAATATACTGATTACAGGAGCAGGTTTTTTGGAAACTACTCCAGAAGTTAGGGGTGTTCAGCCCCAGCCCCAGCCCCAGCCCCAGCCCCAGCCCCAGCCCCAGGTATACTAACAGCGGGACATGATGGTTGGTTTTTTAAAAAATCTCCATCTACCCGGGGATTTCTGTGAACACATTAGCTCAAAGCAGTCAGAAGTTGGTGGCAGTCCTGACCAGACCACTTAAACTATTCTGTGCCTCAGTTTCTCCAGCTGCAAAATGAGTATACAGACAAGCCCATTTTCCTTCTCTTCCCTTCTCAGGAAAGTTGTAAATAGGCTCACCCTACATGATAAGAGTTTAACTGCCATTTTATAAAGTGCAAGATATCTTTTTTAAACAGCCTAACAATAGCATGTGAAGTTAATTGTGCATGGCATACCTAGCCAGCTAATTCTCTTAATGAATCCAGGCTTTTTTACTTTTGCATAGCATCTGATCGCACAAAGCCAATAGTTGAACATATTGGCAGGTAATGAGTTAATGAGTGTGATGCCAGCTAGATCCAAATCACAGATACACCAGAGCACAGGGCCCTTTTGATAAATTTTCTTTAGCACAATGCACCTGGCATCCTGGCCAACCATCCCATAGCTGTTCATGCTGACTGGGTTGCCAAGGTCGCAGGAGCTGATGTCATAATTGGTGTCTGAGCTCTGCCCTGCTAAATGGCCATGAGGAACCACTTCAGTTCAGACTAGGCCACGAAGCTCCTTAGTGAGGAGCTGCCATGCTGGGCCAACAACCATCTGGTGTCTAAGAAAGACAGCCCAATTCCTAAGACTCAGGGAATAGAACACTGCACCTTCCAGAAGTACTTTCTTCTTGGGCACACCACCAGCTAAGAAAGCAGCCTCACGATGATTGTTGTTTTATGGATGCTTCTCATTGCAGGAACCATGTGGAAGGGATATAAATACCCCCCAGGAGGGGTAAGTGTACCTTCAACCTTGTTCTCTATTCTTACTTTGAAATGTATTCTCATCCCCAGAAACAAACTCAGCATGAAAATCCAACTTTAGTAATATTAGAAACAAACACTTTAATTTTTTTTAAGTTACGGTAGCTTCTACTTGTATTATTATTCACAGTCAGAGTTGGGAGAGTTCCCATTTTCTTTCACATGATCTTTAAGGCCCAGAGTCAAAGTTTTCTGAAGTTGGGAAACCTTGTCTCTGTTGTCCTTATGGACGTTTTCTATGCCCAGTCTTTGATGACATTTCCTAGGGATCAGTCCACTTCAGAAATCCAAACTTCGCTCTCCCACAAGTAACCACTAGTTTGTAAAAGGGTTCTGGTGGCAGATGTCTCTCTCCCCTCTCCTCCTGTTAGACCTTGGAACTTCTGTCTTTTCTCTGCCTCTTGTCACTCCCCAGTGCTGAGGTCCCCTTGCAACCAGGATCAGCACCTCTGAGAGGTGAGACAGAATTGGAGGTGGCTTCCCTGCTGTCCTTGGCTTGGAGGCCAAATGCCTCAGCCCCACACTAGCAACCACTAGACCCACATGACATACCTTTTTTTCCCCCACAGACCCCAGTGGAAGTAAGCAAGGATGATCCTGGTGAACTAATGCAGCTCTGAAGCTCACCTGACCAGCTGTACAGTTCCTGTTGTTGGTTTCGCATAAAGTAATTGCACATTATTTTGTCATAGTTTATGTTAAGAAGTTATCGCACTTTTTAAGATGAATGAAGACTTAGTATTCTGTTAGCTTGTAACAGAGACAGTTGAGTGGATGGGATGCAGGTGGGTCCTTTTGCTACATGGTCTCTAAGACTGGCATTAAGATACCTAGTTCAGCTGGGCACGGTGGCTCTCACCTGTAATCCCTTGCAACCAGGATCAGCACCTCTGAGAGGTGAGACAGATTACAAAGTGCTGTAATCCCAGCACTTTGGGAAGCCAAGGCAGGTGGATCATTTAGGGTCAGGTGATCCCCACCTCTAATAAAAATACAAGAAATTAGCCACCGCACTACATGTGGTGACATGTAGTCCCAGCTACTGGGAAGGCTGAGGCAGGTTGCAGTGAGCTGAGATTGGGCCACTGCACTCCAGCCCAGCGACAGAATGAGACTCAGTCTCAAAAGAAAAAGAACCCGAAGCTTATACCATGTGGGAACAGAACCTCATTTTTAATGTTGGGGTTAGATACTAAAGTATAATTATCTTAATCCTTAAAAATAATCTTCTGAAGCTGAGTATTAGCCTCATCTTACAAAATGGCAGAAATGAAGTTGAGGGTCATATCTATCTTGCCAACACACACAGCCCTGGGCTGCAGAGTCAATTAAGATCTAGGGCTTCTCCCTTCACACTTTCGTGTGCCAAGGAAAAGAGCCAAACAAGAGACTCTGGGATATCTAAGATCTTGCTGTTTAAATATCTCCCTCACCTGAAAATCCAGTAAGTTAGGCTGGGCATCTCACACCTGTAATTCCAGCACTTTGGGAGGCTGAGGCGGGTGGATCACTTGAGGCCAGAAGTTCTAGACCAGTCTAGCCAATGGTAAAATCCCGTCTCTAGTAAAACTAGAAAAAAAATTAGCCGGGCATGGTGGCAGTCACCTGTAATCTCAGCTACTCAAGAAGCTGAGGCAGGAGAATCGCTTGAACCAGGGAGGCAGAGGTTGCAGTGAGCCAAGATCGCACCACTGCACTCCAGCTTGGGTGACAGTGCAAGACTCCATATTTTTAAAAAGTGAAGAAAAAAGGAAACCCAGGAAGTTGCCTGATAATCCTTTTTCTTTTTCATGACTACTGAAAGATAGGAGCCTGAGAGAGACTTAATAGGAGTAAATACTTTAAAAACAGTATGGAACTGTACCCATTCTGAGCATGACTGATAGAGTTCCAAAATTCAAGAGAAGTGTATCTTTTCCAGCAAAGTAGATCTTTTGTTTACATAGAAAACATTTTGTCATTTGGGATGTTTGCTGAACAATTTGTAAGTAGCTCTTTGCAATGAATGGATTATCCTTTTTTTTTAATGGAAAGAAAACAAATTCAAAATCTGTAAGCAAAACTTTAGTAATTTCTGAATCTAGGATGCTAGTATCTTCTACTTTTTTACATGATTTCGATTCAACCCATTCCAGTGAGTTAAGTACCTGTGTCCTCTGGCTGTGCTCATTTGCCTCATACTTTTTTTTTTTTTTTTAAAAACAGTCTTGTTCTGTCACCCAGGATAGAGTGAAGTGGCACAATCTCGGCTCACTACAACTCCACCTCCCAGGTTCAAGCGATTCTCATGCCTCAGCCCCCTGAGCGGCTGGGATTACAGTGCACGCCACATTTTTGTATTTTTAGTAGAGACGGGGTTTTGCCATGTTGGCCAGACTGGTTTTGAATTCCTGGCCTCAAGTGGTCCACCTGCCTCCTCCTCCCAAAGTGCTGAAATTACAGATGTGAGCCCCTGTGCTCAGCCTGCCTCATATACATTTCTAAGGACTCTTCTTCTCAGGCATCTCAAGCTGTTATCATAAGAGATAGGACGATGCTCATTTTGACAAGAGGAACCATATACCCAGCTCTGTGTCCTCCCTCCATTTGAGTAAACTTCCAAAGCTTGAGCCACTAAACTAGATTCCATTGCTTTGACCACCTAACAGTTCTCTTAACATGGATGTCTGAGAGCAGAACAGTTCTCTTAAGCTGGTAGGGGGAGAAAAGCACAATCATGATCGTGCAGGCATGAATGGGTAAGGGAGCGTAAACAGAGGAGTGTGTGCAAGAGGCAAACCCTATCTCTGAAGTGTGACAAGTATACCGAGGTTTCTAGCTGGAAAAATGTTCAGGGTGATGAGATAAATATCTCAAAGTTTTGATCAATAAATGCAAACCAGCAAAAATATCAATAAAATATTTTAATGCCTACAATTTCTTGTATACATAAATTGCAAAACTTTCACCTGTATATGCAAAAGTATGTTCTCTTGCAGGTCAAACAGCACCAGAAAACAAGCTAAGCTATCTAAAATTTTTTTAACTTGATTTGTCCATTATGTAAAAGACAGGATGGATTTAATAATGCCAAAGAAATCTCTATCTCACTCTTAATCATACACTAAATGCCTGAATATTTAATCACATCCACTCAGAAAATAAATAGTAGTCTAATATATTCAGCACATTGAAAATAAAACAACCAGTCTCTCTTCATATATTTATTCTCTCTCCAAACATGTTTTGGTCTCCGGCTATCTCTCAGAAATTTACTAATAGCTGCTTTTAAGTTATAAAATATAAAAGAACAATTTATTTCTTGGAGAAAATCTTGGGGATTACATTAAAAATGAAAATTTGAGAGTTCCCACAGACTTTTTTTTTTCTTTTTGAGATGGAGTCTTGCTCTGTCACCCAGGCTGGAGTACAGTGGTGCTATCTTGGCTCACTGCAACCTCTACCTCCTGGGTTCAAGCGATTCTCCCACCTTAGCCTCCCCAGTAGCTGGGATTACAGGCATGCGCCACCATGCCTGGCTAATTTTTTGTATTTTTAGTAGAGACGGGGTCTTATCATGTTGGCCAGGCTGGTCTCAAACTCCTGGTCTTAAGTGATCCACCCGCCTCGGCCTCCCAAAGCGCTGGGATTATAGGTGTGAGCCACCACACCCGGCCAGACTTTTTTGTTAACAGTCTTTCAACCTTTTCATGGCACACACATAAGGCTGCCTGAGACATGTGGTACCCTGGCCTCCAACTGGACGTAACTGCATTTATAGTTTAGAGAAAATACAGAGTTCTGAAAGTAGCCTTAAAAGAAGTGCCCTTTGCTTTGACACAGCAATGTCAAAAGCAAGTGGGACTGTGCAATCAGAGCCATGAGTTTTATGAAAACTCCTTTCCTTTCACATCATTTGTTAGAGAATGCTGTACCCATGATCATGTAACATTATTACAATCATGAAATATTACTACATTCGTGATTAACATTACCCAAAAGGCACATCTTCAAATGTTGAATTAAGAAAATCTGAAAATCAAAACAGTAGAGACTACATTAAAACTCAAGCATTTAATTTGTAAACCTTAATGAAATAACAGTTTACTCCAGTTTCTTCAAAGGTTTGTGAGCTTTTTGTTAAGAATGGTCAGGAAGTGCAGAAGAATAACATGGAAGACAGGATTTGGAAGCAAGGCCAAAATTTAAAAGACTTAACCTTTTTTTTTCCTTTTAAATGAGCCACAGAAGTGCTCTTTTATAATGTTGATGCAAATCAACATTTGTATTATAGAAATGCACTCAGAAGTAACAGACACGTAAGGTTAAAACCTGATTCTTCCTACTAAGTTCTGGAAATGTGTTCTAACACAATGGTGCCTTTCTGTACAAATAACTGTACCATATCATAAATTTACTGCTAGTATACTTTAAGCCACCAAAAATCTTTCAGCTGTGACAAGCACTTGATTGTAATGACAGATTTCAGAGTCTGAATGTTGAAAAAAATATATATCCAAGAAAAAAATTTTGAAGGGGGAATAAAAGCACATACATGGCAGCAGAGGAACTGATGTTCTAAGCCTGTTTTATTACATGGGACATCACACTACCCTTAAATCAATTTCACTGAAGGTATTTGAGATGGGTGAGATGAAATCAATAGGACTTGCTGCTACCAGTGTGACAGTTCTATACATAGTTACGAAGGGTGTTATTCCTAGTGATGAAGACACCTTTCATGGGATTCAATTTAAAAATTAAATCTTTGCATTTTGAAAGTTTGAAACTCAATTCAAAATGAGTCAGTCTTAAAAGACTGGCTCTGTAATCCCAGCACTTTGGGAGGCCGAGGCGGGTGGATCACGAGGTCAAGAGATCAAGCCCATCCTGGTCAACATGATGAAACCCCGTCTCTACTAAAAATAAAAATTAGCTGGGCATGGTGGCACGTGCCTGTAATCCCAGCTACTCAGGAGGCTGAGGCAGGAGAATTGCCTGAACCCAGGAGGTGGAGGTTGCGGTGAGCCGAGATCGCGCCATTGTACTCCAGCCTGGGTAACAAGAGTGAAACTCCGTCTCAAAAAAAAAAAAAAGACTGGCTCATATGGTCCCATTAAGGAAGGCTAACAATGGTAATCTGTAATACCCAAAATTGAAGAATAAAGACTTTATGGATAAAAAGAAATAAACCAAAACATTTGGCCTGCTGAAGTGTAAGGGCCTGTTGTAGGACAATCCCTCTTCCTAATCTCTACCATACAATGGCTTAAATTAGCCAGAACATTTATTGTAGAACTATCGTACAAGCTGATGTCTCACTTCCCCCAAGCCTTCATACTTACAGTCAAGGACAAATGCTCTCTAGCACCACATCTCATTTTCTGTTGCAGACAGTTCTTGGGACTTGGCTTCCTTCCAGCCTCATCCTAAGTCACCCTGATTGGAACTGCTTGGACTTGAAGCTTAAGGGATATCAAGTCTGTATTTATGACTTTAAAAGGGTAAAAAGGAATTTCCACAGCTCAGTAAAATACTGGTAACAGGGAACATCCCTTCCTACCCCGGGGGAAAAAAATCTCTTCACAGTGCATAGTTTGAAATCAAAGTGCATATGGGCAAAAAGAGAAGATGGTGCTCTCGATAACCATAAATTTAGTTTTTGGTTTTCTGCCTTTAATATTTGCTAACAAATTCAAGCTAAAAATGAAA